GTCCAACATTCATGGAAACAGCAGTCAAGTAATCAGACGACATATTGCATTAGGCAGATTTGCTGTACAAGACCTCTTTAAAGTGTTCAAGAGCAAAGATGTCAGTTTGAGGACTAAAGAGTGCCTTATCCAAGCCAAGTTTTAAAATTACATCATACAAAAAATGTGAAAGTTGGACAATTAATAAGGAAGACGGTAGAAAAATTGAGATATTTGAGTTATGGTGTTGAAGATGAGTATTAAAAGTACTATGGACTGCCAGAAAAACAAACAAATCTATGTTGGAAGAAGGGTAGCTAGAATGCTTCGTAGAAGCCAGGATGGCGAGACTTGATCTCCCACACTTTAGATATATTATCAGGAAGGACCAGTTCCTGGAGTAAAACATTGTGCTTGGTAAAGTGGAGGGTCAGCAAAAATGTGGAAGATCTCCAGTGAGATGGATTGGTACAGTGGTAGCAGCAATGGGCTCAAGTGTAACATGATTGTGAGTGTGGTCCAGGACCAGATAGTGCTTCATTCTGTTGTACAAAAAGTCACTATGAATTGGAATCAACTGGTGGTACCATGGCACATAACAACAACAACAACAAAGACAATATAACGTATGTATGTGAAAGCTGTACAATGAATAAGTAAGGCCATAGAAGAATTTATGTACTTGAATTAGAGTGGTGGTGAAGATTATTGGAAATACTATGGAGTACCAGAAAAACAAACACATTATTTTTGGAAGAGTGTGATGAGACTTAGTCTCACCTACTTTGGACATGTTATCAGGAGGTCCCAGTTTCCAGAAATGGACATCATACGTGATAAAGTGGAAGGTCATTGGAAAAGAGGAAGACATTCAATGAGATGGATTAACACAGTGACTGCAGCAAGGTTAAAATACAACAAATTATGAGACTGGCACCTTTGAGAGCAGTGTTTTTATTCTGTGGTATTTGGGGTCACTGTGAGTTAGAAATGATTCAATGGTACCTTACAGTAGCAACAACAATAGTAACACACAGTAAAGGAGGGAGAATAGTAATATACAGGAGCAAAGTTCTTGTATGCAGTTGACATTAAGTTGGTATTTATCAGAACTAGATTGTTTTAATTTAATATGAACAATTGCAGAAAAGGAGACTAGCAGAACAAAAAGGACAGATTATATAAGCAAATTAACAAATAGTGGGTTTAAACCCTACATTATAGGTTAAGCACATTCAATGTAAGTTGACTAAACACTTCAATCAGATGGCAGAGATTGGAACAATAGGTTAAAGAACAGTCCATCTATATCCAACTATATGCTGTCTGCTGGAGATGCACTTCAAATTCAGAGACACAAATGTGTTATATGTACAAAGAAGAGAAAGCTATGTCATGCAACTAATAACCAAAATGGGGGTAGTAGTGACTATACTAATGTTAGACAAAATAGACTTTGAAACAAACATTGTTAATAGAGACAAATATTTTATAATAAAAGACTCATCATGAATATAAAACAATTATAAACATGAATGCACTTAACAGCAGAGCCCTGAAATATATGAAGCAAAAATTGACAGAACTGAAGGCAGAAATGGATAATTCAACAAGAATATAAGGGTGAATCAAAAAATTTTCACACTCTGGCTGTAGAATTTACTTTAATCAACTTTTAGAAAAGACAAATACAGTCTTTTAGTAAAGACAAAAACAGACCCCTTGTTTTTCAATATACTTTGTCCATCTGTCAACAATCTTTCATATTCCCATATTAAAAAAATGTTTAAGACTGAGCTGCAAGCCACAAATGTACCACTGTCTTCATTTTTTCATAAGAGGTGGCTCTTCTTCCTCTAAGGACGGCTTTCAGGGAACCAAAGAGGTGAAAGTCCGATGGAGCAAGATCAGGACTAAAGAGAGAATGCTTTAATACCTCAAAATGAAGTTTCTGAAGAGTGTCAAAGGTATGGACAGAGGTTTGTGGATATACATTGTCATGCAAGATCAGAAACTCTTGGATAGCCTGAGAGTAAAGGGCAGAGTAGGGATGGAAACAACCTCAATCACCAACTCAATCACCAAAAAAACTCAATCAAGAAAAGTTCAAAAGTCAACCATCAGCTAGAAAATTGATGCTTTTGGGTCTTCTGTGATTATCAAAGGCCAGTATTGGAACACTATCAGCAAAAAGGTTCAACAATCAACAGTGCTCATTACAGTGGATTTACTAAACTTCTAATTAAATGCAGAGGACTGCTATTAAGGGCATTGCAATCTGCATGACAATGCACATCTGCACACCTCTGCCCACACTGTTGACACTGCTGTTTGGACGCCTGAAAGCGGTCCTTCAAGGATGAAGGTTCACCTCTGCAGAGGAAGTGACGATAGCGGTGCATTTGTAGTTCACAACTCAGCAAAAAAATGTTTTTTAATAAGGGAATACAGAGGTTCGTTGACAGATGCACAAAGTGTATTATAGAGCAAGGAGATTATGTCAAAAAATGATGGATTTGTCTTATCTAACAGTTGATTAAAATAAACTCTGCCACCAGAGGATGGATATTTTCTGACTCACCCTTGTAGTTGAAGATGTCAGTGTTCCAGTTTCATTAATGTATAGAACAAGCAGGAAGAAGATCAACAAGGTGATAAGATCAATAGAAACATTATATATCATCTACATGGATAGAGATATCTATAGAAAACTATACCCAGCAGCAACATACACTTTCTTCTCAACTATATACACAGAGCATTCTCGATGATTAATCAAATGTGTGCTCATAAAATAAGCCTTAATAAATTTAGCAGGATTAAAATCTTATAAAATGTGCTGTCCAACTACAGTGATCTGGTAATAAAAAAAAGTAACAAAAGGAAGTTTTGGAAAGTCACAAATTTATGGAAAATAATACATTTATATACATAATGAGTGGGTAAAATCAGATAATACTATGAGATGAATTGAAACAAAAACACAATCTGATAAGTCATCTACAAAAACCCACAGCTAACATCTCATTTAAGCTGAACATTTTGTTTTTTTTTTTTGCTTAAGAGAAAGAAAATAAGAATATCTGCTCTTACTGTTTCTACTCAGCATTGTTCAGTTGGTTGTAGCCAGGGTGATTAGAGAAGAAAGGAAAATATGGACACTCAGGTTGAAAAAGAAGTAATGAAAGTATCTTTGTTCACATATGATATAACCTTATATACAAAAATCGTTAAAGAGTCTATATACAAAAGAAAACTACTAAAACTAAAAAGCAATTCAAGAGGGTTATAGTATATAATATCAATATGTAAAAATAAGTTGTAGTTCTGTTCCCTAGCAATGAACTATCAAAAAATAAAATGAAGAAAATAATGCTGTTTATAATTGCAGAAAAAAAGTCATCAGATATTGTGACATGTTCAGTAGTCACAAATTTGTTTAAGTGTCTATACCTTGGTAGTTTTGCAAGCTGCCCCCATCATTTCTCTGTTCTCTGTGAGCATATGTCAAGCCTTCTGAATGATATAAATGGTCAAAAGCATCCATATTTTAAGATTAGGAACCTTTAGCTTAAAGCATTCTGTAACCTAAAGTTTAAATTCCTGTGGAGAGGAGAAAAACAAGTCAACAACAAAATAAAATCTAGGGTAGACCAAGTTCCTCACAAATCCATCACATTCTGGATAAAATGTTGCTACTCTTTTACCCTACTCAGTTTACTAAGACTAACACCTCAGTTGCAGATACGTCTTGCTTTTATTAAGACATTAACTGACATCCTTTATGTTTAAGGTCTTAAACTCAATTATTACTATGTTGCTGCAGCTGTGGTTGTTACTGAAGTGATATTTTCATATCCAAGTATGTTCTCTTTACTGGTGTAGTTATTGATCATAGATACTTCTCCATGTGGCTTATTTTTAGAGTGTAACCACAGTCCATCCTATGATACTTTGTCCAGTAGTAGGAATATGTTTCTAGTGGTGGGAAGTGTGGGACTTCTGCAAAATTACTCTGTTAAATACAATTTCATGACCTAACAAAGAAGTACTGTTTTATATAAATAAGAATATAAATCAGGCTTGCTTTCTCAAATCTACATTTTCCTCTACTGATCGAGGCAGCAGCCATTTCAACGTTGCTACTGCCTCTTTGTAGTTGAAAAGCATTTAAAAGTTTAGAAATTGAATGGTTAATTTTAGTATCTCTGGTGAAGATTATCCTCAGACTCAAAATCCCATGGCAAAGTAACAAGTCTGGATTTCTTCTTAACAACAACAACAACGATGGCATCCTGGTATGGCAATATAGGATAAGCACTAAACTATTAATTATAAGATCCGTGGTTCAGACCTACCAGCTGTTCCTCAGAAACCCTATACAAGGTCACTATGAGTCAGAACTCTAGTGGTACAGGGGCTAGCATTTTGGTTGCTGAAAGGTTGATGGTTCAAACCCACCAACCTCTATGAGGGAGAACCATGTGGCAGTTTGCTTCCATAAGCTGTTGTTGTTGTTGTTGTTAAGTGCCGTCGAGTCGGTTTCGACCCATAGCGACCCTGAACAGGGTTTCCGAGGCTGTAAATCTTTACGGGAGCAGATCGCCTCATCTTTCTCCCGCGGAGCAGCTGGTAGTTTCGAACTGCGGACCTTGCGGTTCGCAGCCCGATTCGTAACCACTACGCTACCAGAGCTCCTGTACAGCCTTGGAAATCCTATAGAATAGTTGTATCTTGTCCTATAGGGCCTCTCTAAGTCAGAGTTGACTTGATATCAGCAGGCAAATGATATATTTGAGATTTCCTTGTGTAAATGGCCCATTTGGATATTTCAGAAAGCAAACAGGAGAGGGAAGGACAGTGAAAACACTGAAAAGATTAACACCTGATTCCAGTGAAATAGAAGTCTACGGCACAAATCCAGAGTGAAACCACTTACTCTATAATGTTGAGATCTTTTATTCAAATTTTCATTTCAATATGCATAATATCCACATGCTTATAGGTTTGTTTTGCTGCAGGATTCTTCAAAGAACATAGAGGACGGAGAAGTTATGAATGGTGTACAGACAGAACTTCTGACATCACCGAAAATTAAGGATGCAATAAGGTATTCCCTTGCTGTGAATAAGAATATTTATTACTTTTGATATTTATTTCTGTAATAGTTTACAGTTATTCTTATTTTATTGGAAAGTTCAATAGGTAAGTAGAATAGTGGGGCGAAACCATTCTTGATGCTAAAATTAATTACAGTATTTAAGCTTTATTCCCACTTTCTTCAAAAGGTATGAGTACTTACTTACAAACATATGTACAGATGAAACTCAGTTCTTCCAATACTTTTCTGCCACCTGGATGTTTTTCTTTGTTTCTTAATGTTTTTGAACCTCAATTTAAAGTGAATATGTAGAGTTTCATTGTGGCTGAATGTTTTACTTTGACTTCAAATCCCTGAGTATTGCTTTGAATTGTATTTTAACAGTCTTGCAAAATTTTGCTTACTGTATATAAAATGAAGACAGTCTTGTCAACCATGATTTAAAATTTTATAATCAAAGTAACTCATAATATGAAGTTAGTTACAGTCAGTGTACAAGTGCCTCCTTGGCTTTGCACTAGTTTCTAATTTAGGACTGGGTACTGCATGGGTTCAAATCCTGCTATTATGCTTATAGTTACATGCAATTTGGTATGTTACTCATCTTTCTTGGTCTTAGTTTATGATCTGTAAATGCAAGGATGTGAAACTGACGGGGAATGACATCACCATGAAGAACATTTCAAGATCTGTCCTGAAGTACAGTGCTGTCAGTGAAAAGATAAAATCCATATGCCTACAAGGAAGGTCAATTAATATAGCTATTATTCAAATTTATACACAAGCCATTTATACCAAAGATGAATACATTTAAGTGTTTTACCAACTTCCGCTGTCTGAAATTGATCACACATGCAGTCATGCAGGAGCCTTAGGGAGGAATGCAAAAGGATAGAAGTAAATACTCTTCACTGTTGGTACGTGGATGGAACTGCAACCATATAATGAAGCAAAATATATGATCATTTCTAGTGATTGGAATGCAAAAATTTGAAACAGAAGAACGGTCAGTATTTTGAATAACTGGCCATGATGATAGGATGAAACAGTAGAGAGAAAATATCACCTTGGTGATAGAACGAATGCAGGAGATCACATGATAATATTTCAAAAGTCTAATGATTTATTCATTGGAAATACCATTGTTCGGCAACATAAATAATGACTTTACCTGTGGACTTACCACTCAGCTGCTAATCAAAAGGCTGGTGATTCAAACCCACCTGCCAATCTGTGGGAGAAAGATTTGCAATGGAATACACAAGGATCAAAATGATGGCATCAGTGAAAAGAGGTGATGGAGTAGCTCAATATCTTCAGTCAGTACAAGGCCAAAGGCCCACTGTGGAACAGACCATCAGTGGTTCATATGCATGTTCAATTTGAAGCTGAAGAAAATTCAAATAAGTCCATGAGTGCCAGAGTATGAATTTAGTAGATCCCACCTGAATCTAGAGACTATCTCAAGAATAAGTTTCACATCTCACAACATGGTTTAACCTGGAGGACATTACGCTGAGTGAAATTAGTCAATCACTAAAAGGGCAAACTATCGTATGATACAAATGTTGTAAAAATTAAAAAAAAAAAAAAAAAAAAAAGAGTTTTCTTGATAAAAGAAGCAATCTTTGATAGTGACAGGTGGGGGGAAATATTCATGGACTAAAAGGTGGATACATGTTCACACGGGTGACAGGGCAGGCAATATACAACAAAAAGGGAGAAAATATGAAGGTACAGTAGGAGACAAAGGAGGAATGCAATAGATAAAGTGGACAAAAGTAAATACTGTTAACTGTTGGTATGTAGAGGGGATTGCAACCATATAATGAAGTGAAGTACAGGATTTTTTTTTAATGTAAAACTGATGATTGGCTCTGTAAACCTTTACTCAGTTCACCAGAAAAGGTTAAAAAAAAAAAGTTTCAGATATTGAACACTAATGGCTGAAGAGCAGACAAGTTGTAAGATACAGGAAGAAAGTAAAAGGTCATTAACAAACAGGAAAGGAAGAAAAGACCAAAATGAATGTCATAAGGAACTCTAAATGTTGTTGCTTTTGAATGTAGAGTTGTTGTTAAGTGCCGTGGAGTCAATTCGAACCCATAGCGACCTCATATAGGATTTCCAAGGAGCAGCTGGTGAGCTTGAACCGCCAACCTTGCAGTTCAAATGGTTTTGCAGGCTGGTGCATTAACCCAAGGAAGAAATGATGAAGTATAAGATCTGAAAAGAAGATTGCAAAGGGTGGCTTGAGAAGAAAAAGTAAGGTATTATAATGAAATGTACAAAGACCTAGAGCTAAAAAACCAAAAGAGAAGACCACACTCAGCATTTATCAAGATGAAAGAACTAAAAAAAAAAAAATAAAAAAATTCGAACCTAAATTCATAATATTGAATAATTCTTTCTCTTTTTTCAATTCTTCAGCCTAAGGAGATGCCTGACCTCTGAAAAATCTTTTTTTTTTTTTTTTTTTTTAAGGAATATTTTTTTTTTTTTTTTTTTCTTAAAGTTTTTATTGTGAATTGAGTGAAAGTTTACAGGGCAGATAATCAGTTTTACATTCAACAAATCATGTTCTTTGTTTCATGACAATGATGATAATCCTCTCCATTTACCCTCCGTTAACAGTATTACTCTATATTTATTTAGCTTTTTTTTTTTTTCTTTGAAACACTCAGGCATATATAATAATTTAAACCACCAAAGCGTACATTCTGCAAGTCTGCCTCCTGGCTGCCAGCTCTCAGTCCTTCTCTTTCCATGAATCTGGAGTCCTCAGCTGCTCCTTCTCTCCGTGTCCCCATCTCTGCCTCCATCTCTGGTGTCTGTGCTTCTCTGGATAAGGTCCCACATTCCGATTGTGCTCTTCTCCCTTGATGGTCCTAGGGTCCTCTGTTTCTGTACTTTAAGATTAACTACACACCTATTTTTGTTACAAAACTTCTACGTTTAAAATTTTGACAGTCACAATTAGTCATGATAACAGTTGCTCACTGTTGAATCATAAGAATCTTATCCTCGTCTCTTTTCACCAGACCTATCTAAACAAGATGAATGTCTACTCAATGGGGACTCTATCTTCCCCCGCACACTATGAAACTAAACTCCCTCTTGAAAACTTGTAAGCCAGGCACTTCATGTCTATATTGTCCCCTCATTTTAGCTAGCCCATGTCTAAGTTGCCCATCCCTGTCTTCCCTATCTAGCTAGCATCAATACTTGATGTGAAGACTCTTTCCCTCTCTGTTTGGTATTTTGAATTACTCCATCCATGAATATAGGTTAAGTTCATCAAATTTTACCCTTGTTTAGCCTTTATAAAAAATTGTTTTTGTTTTGTTTTTACCTTCCTGTAGTTGAGTTCTGATTATCAAGCCAACAAGGTTAGGTCAAAGGGGTACTATCTGCAAGTTTGGGTGTTTCCTGACTTCATGTCTGCTGGATGCTTCACTCTCAGCTCTAGCCCTCCATGGAAGAATATACTAATATTTTTATTGTTAATTTTTTACCCGATCTTTTCCCCTAAATTACTATGTATAATAAAATGAGATATATTTGTACATACTTCTGTGCTGTCACTAATAATTATATAAAAAAAGAAAAGTATGACAGATTGTTGTTGGTTGTCAAGTACCAGGGAGTTTGTTCTGAGTCTTAACAACCCTGTATAGGGTTTCTGAGGCTTTAAATCAATGCAGGAGCAGAAAGCCTTGTCTTTCTCCCTCATAGTGGCTGCTGTCAGGCTTCAACTCTGGGCCGTGTGGTTCTCAGTCCAGTGCTTCTCTTATAGAGCCACAAAGCTTCCCTTACCATAGGTAGACACGTTTATATTGCGTTAAACAGCCAAGAGTTGGGGTACAACGAAAGGTTTGTTCATATGGAAATAAAAGATCATGGAATTTTTTTCCATGAATTTTTGAAGACCCCTCCTAGATGTGGAGCATTTAAAATAGAAATGAGATCTACAAGGATTTGTTGCAACTTATTATTATTGTTGTTGTCATCATCACCTTTCTTCTTATTAAGAAAATTATCACTGATTTCATTTTACCTAAGGTTACTTAAAATCTGGCTTGATGGTGGTAGTAGTGTGCCTGGAGTCGGTTCTGACTCATAAACTATCCTGCACAGGGTTTCTGAGGCTGTAAATCTATGGGAGCAGAAAGCCTCATCTTTCTTCTGGGGGACCACAGGTAGTTTCGAACTGCTGACCTTGAGATGAGCAGCTTGACTCATGAGGAAATGAATTCCATATTTAATTAATTCTTGACTTCAGCATTAGAAAATGATGCTTCTGAGATTGATAAAATTCATTTGATAATTTAGTCATCTGTTCAGTTACCAACATGTGCCAAATAATTTGCCTGGAATTAACTATAAATATGTGAAGGAAGGGATGGATAATATAATACATATATATAATAATAATAATACATATATATGCTGCTGTTGTTGTTGTTGTGAAGTGCCATCGAGTCAGTTCTGACCCACAACAACCCTGTATAGGGTTTCCAAGGAGCAACTGGTGAGCTTGAAATGCCGATCTTGCAGTTCAAATGGCTTTGCAGTCTGAGTCATTAACACACAGCGCCACACCAGGACTCTCTCTCTCTCTATGTGTGTGTGTGTGTTGTTGTTGTTGTTGTTAAGTGCAGTCGAGTTGGTTCCGACTCATAACAACCTTATATAAACTGTAGGTCAGCAGTTCATGCTTGCCAGACATTCCTCAGAAACCCTGGTAAGCTTGAACTTCCCTTGGGTTTCAAACTGACTTTGCAGTACAGCACATTAACTCACAGCATCACACCAGGACTTTTCTCTCTATATCTGTATATATGTATATACATATGGATCAGGCTGCACACCGCAAGGTCAGCAGTTCGAAACTACCAGCTGTTCCGCGGGAGAAAGTTGAGGCGTTCTGCTTCCGTAAAGATTTACAGCCTCGGAAACCCTGTACAGGGTCACTATGAGTCAGAACCGACTCCATGGCACATAACAAC